CCTCCCTGGCCTAAAGCTGGATGTCAACACCAGTTAAGATCAAGTGTGTGCTACAATTTTATGGATTGGATTGCTTCATTTATTTATATTATATGCCTGGCACATTTATGTTTGCAACCCCCTACACTAAAGGAATAGCAATTGGTTCTAGCGAACTTCCATGCTGGACATTTTTCTCAATATTTTACACGTATGAGTTAATTTGCTCCTGAAAACATTGATAAAAAGCAGAAGAGATTACTCTTTTTTAACCAATGATGGAAATGAGGTACAAAGAGATTAAATACACCTAATACCTCACGGCTAATGAGTAGCAGACCTGAGATTAAAACCCAGGCATTCTAGCTCTAGAATCTGGATTCTTCACCACGACACTAGTGGCTTAGCAGATGAGTTCACCAGGCAGCATAAATGGTGAATGATATTAGATTTGAAAGCAAAATATAGATGGTTCATTTGAAAAGCTCAGGAAAAGCACAGCATGTCCGTATAGTGCTAAGCTGCTCCAGGCAGACGGACAGAGGCTGGAAATGCGGTTTCTGTTCGAGAGAGAGTCAATGTTTAATTACAGTGATAACGTTGGTCAAGCAGTTACCCACATGCCTAACATGTTATTTCCATTCTACAGAAGAGGAAAACTGAGATTGGAGAAAGAATTTGTCCAAGATCACACAGCTAATGAGAACTGGTATTGGGGGGTACTTCTGTTTTCTGAGGATGTAGGCTTATCCTAATGCCAGGCGAAAAGTCATCACTCAGGTCAGGCACAGGGGCCAGTCAGAAACAGGAGGAACACTCCTCCACCCTTGCTTCATGCTGCAGGACCTCTTGGCCAAAGGAGATGAACTTGACCCTGTGCCCATCAGGCCCATCTTCAGCTCTCTTAGCTCCTTTGGGGAATAAAAGCATCTCAGGCTGTAACCCCCATCTCCTGCAATGCAGCCTCTCTCCACCAGGGGGCCTGTAGCCTGTCTTCAGCAAGGTTGTCTTCTCCAAGCCCCCAGGAGAATGGACACGTGGCCTGAGGCATCTGATCATCCTGGCCTTGGGCAGAGCATGAATCTACCTTGGAACTCTTGTCCAGCCTACTTGATCCCCACACCCACCCCAATCCATCTCCCCCAGGGACAAAAAAATAGTGTGAGAGCTTTTCCAAGGAAGTTCTCTGTGGTTTAGGTTTTTTGTAAGAAGACTATTTTGCATGTTTTGAGGCTTTTCCGAAGCTCTGAGCTTGGAAATCCAATGAGGTTTTCCCAACTCACCATTATCATTTATTTGGCATGTAATAGATTCCCTATCCTGCCCCCACCTCTCACTCTTCTCATGGGAGCGTGTTAGCAGTGTCTCAAGGTGTGCTGAACCACCTTTTCCTCTGTTTCCTCCTCTATAAATAATCTTCAGCTACATAACAGGACCTCACAAGGGCTGTTGTGAGGACCAAGGGCGGTCTTGAACCTGGATCCTTGCCTGTGGCAAGTGCCGGATAAATAGAGCTCTTCCTACTCTTCCTCCTATCTCCCCTTCTCACTCAGAAACTGGAAACCCCAAAATACTTACGATCCCTGATCCTAATGGGGAACCAATGGGAGGGGCCGACCTTGAAAGTGGTCTCCTTGCAATACATCCAGCTTCAGGAAAAACAGACTGTTGGAAGTTCATTGATTTGCACAAGGAACATGATTAGCTCAGATTCAGAAGGACTTCAAAACCAGTGGTTCTCAATCCTGGCTGTATTTTAAAATTACCCAATGGCCATTAAAAAAAAAAAACAAAAAAAACAGAAAGTACCCTAAGCCTTACCCCAGAAACTCTTAGCACTTAGTCTGTAGTGGCGTCAACAGTATCTTTTAATACGGAAAGCTCAGATCATTTCTTTTCTGCCCTTCCAGGCTGCCTCTCTGTCCACGTGCCTCCTGTGCAAGCCCCCTTCTGTTCCAGGTGGGCAGGGCACGTCATCAGCTCCTCAGATGAAAATTTTACTTGATTTTTTACTTCCAGGTGCAAGGGCTCCAGCCCATGCTGACCACAATCGACATGGTCACTTACTGAGCGTCTATTGAGTGCCTGTCACTGTCCTGTCACTCGACCCCTTTATCACTAGTCCTATGTCAGAGGTTGGCTGCAAAAAATGTCCCACATTCTCCACCATTGACATTTTTTTTCTCAAAAGAGATGAGGACTGTCCAGGGTCCCATTTGAAATCTAACCCTGCTGCCACCTATTTTTTTTTTTTTTTAGAGAGAGTGAAAGAGGAGAGAGAGAGAGAGAGAATTTTTAATATTTATTTTTTAGTTCTC